AGCCTGATGAAAATGCTCATTTTAGAAGAACATTTCAAATGCCACTTAGAGGCTTTTGCATCTTGAACTCTTTTTTTTTTTTAAGCTATATTTTTACTTATATTTTTTTATATTTTATTTAAAGTTGTTTTATATATAAATACCACTAGTTTATATATATTTTACATTTATGGATTTAATTTTATATTATATATATATATAGAGAGTGTATAAAATAAGTGCTAGTTTAATATTTGTATTTTTTCATGTTTTTAAAAAAAAATATTTTTATGTGTGTGTATATATATATATATATATATATTTATTTATTTATGTATGTGTAAGCTTTATATTTATTAGTGTATAAATTACGTGTTACGTGTCATCCGTGCCCCTAGGAAAGTGTGTTTGTGTGTGCAGGAGAGCGCTGGGGGGTGATTACATCAAATGTTCCTCCTGAAGGGTTGGTTGCGGGGATCCGGGCTTCCTTGGCTGGGATTGGTGAAAATATTTTGTAGGGATGCAGTAGCAGAGATGGCTGTTGAGTAGTGTAATAATGTTTGGCATAGCAACTACAGAGAGGGAAGCACCTGCTACTGGGTATAACCAGTGCCAACGTCACCCTCGCCTATGTACTTATTCCCCAGCGGATGTTTTCTGCTGAGGTTGTTGTTGAATTCCTCGGAGGCATCTCTGCATGCCGTATTACGTCATAGTGAGATTTCGTCTGCTCACCAAGGAGATGGAATGTTTCGAGCAGACGTATCCCAGCATAACACATATTTCTGCTGTTAGAACTTTTCCTCCTTTCTGCGTACGTCTGGAAACATCGTTTAAATCAGCGTCTGCTCGGCATTCACCAGGTGAAGATGATATGCCATCGTTACACAAAGATGGAGTGACATAATGAAAGATGAGCTGCGGCGAGAGAGGAAGAGACAGATGAAGAAAGACTCTGCCTGCAGGTGATTCAGGTCAGCGCTCTCACAGAGGAGCCGCTGCCACGGTTACCATCTCTATGGAAACTAGGAGGTGTTCCGTTGCGTTAGAACTGCCATCCTGATGTTTTTGATGAACCGCTAGCTGCTGATTGCCAGCTCGTTGAGTGAGTCCGTGCAGGAGAATGACACATGCCTTTTTACTTTTGAAGGAAGTATTGTATCTTCATAACCAGGGGTGGGGAGATAGGTCAATATGAAACAACAATCCATTTGACTTCCAAATGCGATGTATTTTAAGTGAACAAGATATTCGTGAAAGAAAAAAATGCAGGGTTGTATTGGATTTTGTCCATTGAGAATTTGCTTGGCAATATGTCATCTGAAAAGTACAGTTGATTCAGAGGTTGAGTTTTTTTTATTAATAAATATGCAAAGTCACACATTTTTTTGTCATAATGTTCACAACAGTTTTGTATTAAAAAGGTTTTCATTTAATTTTCACTAATTTAATTTGCTATTGGTAGTATATAATATAATTAAATGGGTAATTAATATAAGGCCATATGAAATCTGTTTTATTTATTTTTTTTTCAAATTCCATTTTTTCCATTTTAATATTTCTGGATTTATTTTGTTTTCATTTTAATTTATCTAGATTCTGTTTTAATGGTTAAATTAAATTTTATTAATAAAAAAGCATTATAATATAATGATAATTGAAATTATGAAATTTACAATATTAAATAGCAATTTTTTAAAAGTTCAACAAAAATTTTTGAGGCCCTATGAAATATGTTTTATATTTCTGATAAAATAAATTTTGGTAAATCATTTTTTTGGTAAATATACCTTTAAAAATAACGTTTTAATAATAATTTTATTATTAATACTGGTCATTACATTAAGTAATATTTATTTTGATGTATCCATTCAAAATTTGACAAATTACAACATTCCATGTTGTAAATTCCGTTTTTATTCCACGATTCTGTCCGCGTTTTCCACATTGCGAAAAAAATAGGGCCCTACAAATATATTAATTTGCTGCAATTAATTGACCACTTATTTAATACAGTATGTCTGTGAAATACATTAAAATATTTGAAAATAGAAAATGTACATTTATTAATTGCCAAAGCTGTTATTGAATATAATCAATGTTTTATCAATCGATGCCTTAATAAATTTTGGTCTGTTAATCAATGCCAATAATGTCAAACATTAAAACATTGACATCAAACAGCAAACATTGCCAAATAAGCCAATTAATGTTATTACATAGATCCAGTAGAAAAAATAAAATAAAGTAATGATAAGTTCATACATTATCGTTTAAGTCTCTTGTGCTCACCAAGGCTGCATTTACTTGCTTAAAAATGCATTAAAATCCGTAATAATGTGAAATATTGTTACAATTTCATATAGGCTTAACAGTTTTCTATTTCAATATATTATAATGTATTGTAATTTATTCCAGTATTCATAGTCTCATAACCCTTCAAAAAATCATTCTAATATGATGACTTGGTGATGAAGAAATATTTCTTCTCATTGTCAGTGTTGAAAACAGTTCTGCTGATGAATATTTCTGTGGAAGTATTTTGTAACATTGTACATTTCTCAAATTAATGTGTCTTTGCTGAATAAAATTATTAATTTTAATAACCCCAATTATTTAAATGGTAGTGTATATTTGACCTATTTCCAAAAATATCACCAGAATGTTTGTTGTCTTTTCTTTACATTTGGAGGATATGAATACTAATTTGAGGAAATGAGCCTTCTGTTGCACTTTGCATTAATTTCCTGTTTTCCAACATATATAAATCAGCCTACATCTGTTAAAAACTCTGGAAATAGAGGAGTGAATTGGCAAAAATGTGTCCAAAAATACTGTGATAAGTCGATTTTCTCTGGTATTTCCTTCCTGTGCGGTGGCTTCATAAAATAGCCACATACTAATCCGAGCCTAAATTAGATTTTTCATGTGTATGTCTGCGTGATCATCCAACCATTATTGGGGCAAGTGCATGCTTGTGTGCGGCTGTTTGTTGACTGATACTCTATGCTTAGATGGAGTCTTAAGATTGTGTGTGTGTTGTGATCTCTGGATGAGGGGTTTGAGCGAGCAGGCTTGCTTCTGGCTCTAATCTGATTCTATAAAGTGCTTAGGAGGATCTTTGTTTCCATCTGGTGGTTTTCACTCTGTTACATCACTGCAGCTGGCAGTGTGTGCGTGTGTATAGTGGGAGGAGCTTAATACTGGATCCTCTGATGTCAGAGACTCTAGTAACACACGTGCATTGGACATGGATTGCCCCGGGCCCTGTCTCTCAGCTTGATGCCTCCTACTCTTGTTTTTAATGGGCGACACTCTGCGATGTGAATGAATATGATAATGGACGTTTTGCAATTTTATATTGCTTGGGTACAAACAGCATAATTGTGCTGATCGAATGACTGGTGGTTCACAGTCATCAAAGGAAGGACACAGCAAGGACGTGAAAAATGTATGAAAAAAATTAGGGATGCACCGAAATGAAAATTCTTGGCTGAAGCCGAAGCCGAACAAAATTAAACACTGGGCCGAAGGCCGAATACCGAATACCGAACACAGTTTTTCACATTTTCCCCCCCTGTAGGCCTATTTTGCAATTTTTTTTCACCATTGCATTAATTAAATTACCAAAATATGCTTATTACTGTTTTGTTAACTTTTTTTTAACATTCTAGCAGACATTATACCAACAAAGCACAATTTAACTTAAAATTAATAAGTTAGTAAAATAATATTTTTTGGCCATTTTTGAGACTTGAATCAGGCATGTGTTTTTTACTGTACAAATAAAGGCAGCCTTACTGAGCAGAAGAGAATAATTTTAAAACATTAGAATATATTACAGATCCCAATTTGAACACTATGTGTGAATGTTATAATAAAAGTGCCTCTATTTAATCGCGTTCGTCATTGTTCAGTACATATTATTCGGCCTTTTCGCTTATTCGGCCGAACAACGAAAGAGATTTTTTTGCTATTTTCGGCCGAATAATTTCGGTTGCCGAATATTCGGTGCATCCCTAAAAAAAATTCTCAACCGTTCAATAAATGACCCCATACTGAAAGCTACTGAAAAAACGTAACCTTTTTTTGTTTTAGACTAAAATATACCATGGTAATTAAGTTCATTTTTACCAACATACTTTTATGTTTCAGAAATGTATATAGTCATACGTTATTAATGTATTTTCTATTATTAACATTAGCATTTTATTGTTATATAACATTATTTATTTTGCAAAAATAGCAAAGTATTTTTGAATAACATGTGGTTTTAATTTAAAATAATTGCTGGAAGATCCACAATTAAGTTATTAAATATAATTTAATTATATAATTGTATTATGGGTGCAAATTTGATTTGAAACTTTCCATGGTAATGGCTGGTATGTAAAAAAATCACAATAGTGTTGCTCACAAAAGTATTTTTTGTCAAGTTTGTGCTGTTAAATAATTAAGATTTTTTTCAACGTGATCCTAAATCCAATATGAAATTAAAAAGTTAATCCTACTTCCTTCATTTATTTCTCATTGTTTCACATTATTTATGTTTGTTTTCATTATCTTTAGAAATGTATTTTAATCTTAATTTTCCCCTCAATGTAAACTACTGTTTTCTTTTGCATTTATTTTGATTTCTGGAATGCATTTAAACATGAGAACACTACACTCTTATTGGTAGTTAAAGCATAAATAAATTCATCAACATATTTTTATAAATGAATATGCAAGGGTCATGAGATTGCAACGCTTTGTGATTGGCAGTTTTTTTAATTCTCTAAAAATGTGCAGATCTTTCTCTCTTATGTCTGCACAGCTTCCCAGTAGTATAATAGCTATTTACGCATTGTTTTAACAAACTATCATTCAGTTCTGGCTCTATTCTGGTATGAAACTCGAAAATACGTCACACTACAGAGTTAAAACGGGCTGCAAATGCTGTTTCGTGTCGATGTTGAGGAAGTGTGGGGTGGATACTGACCGAGCTTCTAATGGCTCTATTGTTTGTGTTTGTGTTTCAGATCAACTTGAGGCTCATCTTGGTGAGTGGAAAAACAAAAGAGTTCCTGTTCTCGCCAAACGACTCTGCGGCCGACATCGCCAAGCATGTGTACGACAACTGGCCAATGGGTGCGTGATGATTCACATCTTAAAACAAATTTTTTTTTAATGCGTCCCATCAATAGACTGAAACCATTGGCTCGTGTGAAGGATTTTCAGGCTATTGTTTCCTAGCGTTGAGTAGGTTCCTCTTTACAACCTTTTTCTGTGTTCAGATAATCTGTGCCGCAGACAAATCTGAGTCTGACTGAGTGGTAATCCTGCGCAGAGCTAGATTCCACTCACTGTGCGCTGACCTAAAGTCAATGACAGTACTGAAGGGTAAAAAAAGAGTTTGTGTGTTTATACATCTGTCTGGCCATCTCTCTGCATGTGTCTGAAGTCTTCATTCAAATATTCCACAGATACAGTTATAGGTTATTATACATTTTTAGGGAAGAGCAGATGGTATCCAGACTCCTCTTTCATCTGTTTCTGCACTGTGCCTTGGCAGCCTATCTGAGACGACAAGTGCTTTTAGCGAAGTGGCCACAAGCTCAAGTTTAGCATTTTTCCATTTAATTGTCCTCTCAAACATACTGTGGTGGTACTATGGTGCAGTGATGATAATACCATGGTGTTTTGATATATACACTACTGTTCAAAAGTTTGGGGTCGGTAAGTTATTTTAAATGTTTTTGAAAATCTCTTACCATGGGTGCATTTATTTGATCAAAAATACAGTTAAAACAGTAACATTCTAAAGTATTATTACATATAAAAGAGCTGTTTTCAGCAGCCATTACTCCAGTCTTTAGTGTCTTGCAATCCTTCAGAAATCATTCTAACATGGTGCTCAAGAATAATCGGGCAGGAGTAATATTTGAGTAATGCTGAACTGTGATGCATATTTTCCAGGATTCTTTTATGAATAGAAAGTTATTTATCTAGTCTTCTTTAGTGTCACTTTTGGTCATTTTGATGCATCATTGCTGAATAAAAATATAAATGACTTTCTCTCTTTCTTTCAAAAAAAAAAAGATGGTTCTGTTTTTGCTGGTATTAGAGGAGTTGGAGACCAGCAAACCAAATTAGGCTGGTTTAGGCTTTTTTTTTTAAATTTTTTTTAGCAGGAATGATATTTTTATTGCTGTTTCTTGTCCTTATTTGTCCTCTAAAGAAATCCAGGGTTTAGTTAAGTTGAAGTTTATTGTAATTTTATTTAAATTTCTTGCTTTGAATAGCTCTTATGAAAGTCATCAGCCTTTAATTATGTCAAAAAGAATATTGATGAAAAAGCAAGGAAAAAGAAAGGCCTTCTTTGTTGTACAGTTCGTAAACTCCATCGGGGTGGTCCGGGATTGAATCAGAGTTTTATTCATAGCAGACGAGCACAGCGGAGCCCGACCTCATGAGGACACAGAAAGACCCTCACTTGAGTCTTGTGACTGATTGAGTCAAGAGTGAGAAAGAGACGAATAAATGAAGAGAGAAAAGAGTGAAAAACTTGGGAAGCAGTAACATGGAAAAATGCAGACTAGTAGAAAAGTGTGTTTCTAGGGAACAGTTCACCCAAAAAGAAAAATACTGTCATCATTTCCTCACCCTCATGTCATTCCTAACTTGGATGACTGTCTATCTTCTGTGTAAGACTTAAATTTTTGTCTCTTTCTTACGATTTTTATGGAAAGTTCTCCTTGTTGTGTTTCTCTTTGTGATGACACTGTAATCACAAAATGTGCATATTTTGTGTACAACACAAACATGAATTTTTCCAATTTGTTCTGTCTTTAACAGACTGGGAAGAGGAGCAAGTGAGCAGTCCGAACATCCTGCGCCTCATCTACCAGGGCCGATTCCTACACGGCAATGTGACGCTAGGAGGTGACTCCTCATTACCATTATTAACATCACATCACACATGCTCTGCTTCTCTTGATTTTTTATTAAATCATTCCTCTCAGTCCAGAATCATGGGTCTGACATATAAGAAGTTGCTTAGTTTTTTTTTCTGCCAGGTAAATCCGCCGTGTCCCAGTGGACTCATAACCGCAAAGATATTTATTTTGGCTTTGTCTTGGTTTATTTCGGGCCAGGGTGCAGTGCGGTTCAGTTCTATCATTGTTCAGCTGATTATAAGGACATCCAAAAATTCAGCTCCCAGTCCCAATACACCTAAATGTTACTATTCTCAAGTTGTGAATAGAGATGACTGACTTAAAATATTCCCAGAATGCGGCAGCGAGTTTTTCAGCGAGCAGTCTATGAATGTAGGAAAGCACTGGCCGGCAGACTTGTCATCAGGGACAGAAAACAGGGAAGAGAGGAAATTCTTTGGGCGTGAACAGGAAGCATTTTTTTATTTGTTTGGCCATTCCTCAAGCAACAATAAAAGATTGAGTGGGTTTGTGAATGCGTGTATAAGAAAGTATACGAGTATCTATCTATCTATCTATCTATCTATCTATCTATCTATCCATCTATCTATCTAAAAAAAAATGTTTTTTGTCATATTACACAAATAAATCCTTGTTAAGTCCTAGATTCTCTATAAATTTGACAGGGCCTTTTATATGTGACCTGTGAAAAACTTGACTATGATATACTTAACTTATAACCAGGGGTTTTGTCAGTATATTTTGTCTGAGCAAACTTTTCCCATGGCTGAATAACTATAAGTATATAAGCTCCAATTCCTGAACTTTTCGCCTGATGACGTGATGGAACGCAGGCAGGTTTTGCCAAAAAAGTGTCACTTTGATAAAACACGCTGACACCTTCTTGATTCAAGAGCACCAAGGCATGAAGACCGAGTGTGTCTGTGGGGCAGAGGGCAGCAGCAGTGAGAGTCAGTGACGGCTCTCAATAAGGCACAGGCTTAATGTTTACATGTTATCCTGGTCCTCTGTCCTATGATTTCATCCCCTTGAAAGTGACTTTGGTGTCATAGATGTACAGCTGCATTAGTCTCTAGTGTCCATTCGGTCCAACACTCTTTTTTTTCTTATGTCTTGCAGCTTTAAAACTGCCTCTCGGAAAAACCACAGTGATGCATTTAGTTGCCAGAGAGACGCTGCCCGAGCCAAATTCCCAAGGTAACCATTCTGCCCGCTCTCTTTTCTGTACACTCCTCCTTCACTGTTTCACACGCTCCCTGTCTCACTGCAGCCTTCACTTTGTTCAAAAATGTTCAGTTTATGTGGATCATTCTCACCCTCTGGCACTACTTCAGTTTTAGGAATTTTTAAAGTAGTGTTTAACCAAAATATAAAAGACCTGGTCACATGACATTTTTGATCGAAACGATAGGAAGATAAATGTAATGCTTGTTGAGCTTATTCTGATATATTAGCAGAAGTTAAGGTTTTTAACTTTTATAAGGTTAAAGCATTTTTATTCAAATGCTAAACTGAAGGCACATTTTCATGAAAATTGAAACGGATGATGTGCAGTTGATTTATGGTTTTAGCATAGAAAACATTATGTATGTATACTATCTATTTGTAGTTATTATGAGGGTATGAGGGACACAATGGTTACTGACAAACAGGTACTGGTTTCTAATAATTCTCAGGTTAATTCTAATAATAATTAACGTTATTTAAACAGTGGACTTTAACTATTAATATTATTATTATTTTTTTGTTTATTTGATTTTATTTAAGGATTACCCATATATAAACCTTACTTTTACCTAGCCTCAGTTAAAATAATAATATTTCAGTGTACAATAAAATAAAAAAATACATACATAATATAACAGAGTAAACCACACATAAAATAAAATAATTACTATACAATTACAATACAAAGTCTGGGATTGTCACTTATAAGGTGCTTTAAATATATATTGTTCATTTTTTTGTTCATGTTCATCCTTTTGTGTATGAGATAATATTCTCAGTTGTGTTTGCATTTCTATTTTAAATAAAATGTCTTTTATATCATTATTTATTATATTATTTATGTATTATTTATGATCGATTTGGAGTGTTTTACATGCATCTTACACGAAAATGCAAAGAAAACTGATTTAGTTAATTCTGTAGTAAGCATAAAAATACAGTACATGGCACATAATTATTTGCTAATAGAGTCCTTTAACAATGCTGTTTTATATCTAATGAGATTTACTTGCTTGCCAATGATTAATTCTGAGTAAAGAATATATGCAGAATGAAATATGCATCTTAGAAAGAAACATAATTATGTTGCCTACCTCTTAAAGAACAGAATTTCTGTGGTGCCTTAAAATGCTGTCTATGTAGGCAGTAAGTTTTGGAACAAAACCATTGTTTGTTTTTGTGCAATAGTATTAAGTTTCTGTGTGTTTGTTACAGGTCAGAGGAACCGGGAAAAGACTGGAGAGAGCAACTGTTGTGTGATCCTGTAAATACATCCCATCATCCCCCAGAACGAGTGTGTCCTATCACCCTTCTCCCATGCTGCTTAAACACAACTAATCACACCCGACTCCCACGAGCACCTGACCAGAACAAGAGCTTCGCTTCTCCTGGAAAGGAAAAAAAAATCACCCGAGACACGGATATGAAAACATTTCGGCTTCGCACAGTCCGTATTTAAGCCAAAAGATGTCAAAAAATCAGATAATAAAATGCATCCCTCCTTCACACACACACATTTCCACCCTTTCTAACATCTTCACATGCATCCATGAACTCATTCAAAAAAACCACACACACACACACACACACACACACACACACACACACACACACACACACACTCCTCCCCTTCTGCCAGTTTGCACACGGAGGAGGCCCTTTTTATTGCACATAGTAACATGAATGATTCAGTGAGGAAACAGAGACTCGGTTGCCTCAGCCGAGGCCCTTGATTCTTCCTCTCAGGAGGGAGACGTGTGAGGGGGGAAATTAATTTACACAGAGTCTGACGAACTTTTCACATTTATCGATGCAATGGCTTGGATCCGGTGCGGAGGTGGAAAGGCATGCCGTCACCTATGTCTGAAATAAGAGCACACGCTTCACCGACAAGATTAATCTCTGCTACAGTCACCCTCCCGGACTTGTTTTCGTCAAATGCTAATCGCCACATGCAGTCTGATTTCAGTGCAGGAGAACAAGTATTTATGTGCCTGATGAACGTTTTAGAAATGTTTCTTATACATTTCCATGCGTTTTAAATGCCCCGTTAAGGTCCTGGAGATCCAGCGTCCTGCTCTATCGAGTTCCTGTACGCCAGAAGTGTTTCAAGCACAGTCGGGACTTTGCAGGAAGGTAGATCTCCAGAAGTTGGTTGGATTGACTCGTGGGAAAGTCTAAAATACACGTAACGAGTAACAGTAACATTTGCGACTGTGTTTTGACAGTCAACCAGTGTTGCGACTTCCCTCTTAAGATAGAGCTGAGCTGATCTCTTTCAGGAAGGGTAATAAGATTTATCCTTTTATTTTCTAAGTGTAGTGGTGTAAATTAATGCTTGTGTTTGGAGCCAGAAGATAACTATGGAATGAAGTTTGGCTTGGTTTCTATTTCCCCTTCCTTGTTAGATATAAAATTTGTTTGCACAACACAGAAACATGAGCTGTTTCGTTTCTAAATGTGTGTAATTGTTTCTTTCCCCTCCTCCCCTTTTAATATTTTTCCAAATGGGAATTGTATTCGAAGGTTACATATGTGTAGAGTGTATTTAATATGAATCTTATAGAGAACATAACTATAGATTGTTGATATATATATTGGTGTCTAGTGTATGACAGTCTAAAAACAGTTAGCACATTAGCATTTGGAGCAGTGAGACGCTGACAATTTCATGTACTTTAACAGCAGCAAATCCCTCTCTTAATAGCTGAAGAAATTACTGTTTCTTCTCTCTCTCTCTCTCTCTCTCTCTCTCTCTCTCTCTTTTTTTAAATCAAATGTTCATAATTTGAGGTTTTATTTTTGACTTCCTTTTTCTTTTTATGTGGTCTTTGCTCTCTGCTTTTTAACACCGCACTAGGTCTGAAAAATATTGGTCCTTATCAGGGTTCAAATCTGTACAGAGCTGAAGTTTTTAAAAAGATAATTGTAAATAAACTAATGCTTCTCATTCTCTAAACTACAAATGGAAATACATATATAAACTGAATAAAGAATCCAGAACATTGAAGTGAAATGGTTATTGCTTGCTGTGTTCACTTTCAGATTGTTTACAGTAAGTTTGAGAGGGCGAAATTTATATTCTATATTTATATTGTTTTTACTACACTTGAGAAAACACACGCATATAATGTGTATTCTGCATATTTTTATATTTCACAGTATTAGTAGTTTACTGTATTTTCATAAATGCAGCATATAAACAATATGCAGCTTAGGTGAACATAAGAGACTTATTTAAAAATAATTTAAATCGTGTATTTATTACTGGTATTTTAGTACTAGTCATGAGTCATCAGTCATCTAGTCATACAGCCTTTCCAAAATCTCCGTTATCATGTATGGAAGCATATGGGTGAACGTCAAATACTTCTCTAATTGTGATCTTGTTGCGCCATCTTATGGATAAACTGATAATAACACACATCTCCTATTTGCACAAATCATCAGTTTTATTGGTTTATATTATATTTATTTATTAGTGTTTATTATTGTTAAACTTGCTCATTTTAATTTTTGTGCATAAATTAAGATAAGCAAAATATAACTAAATTTAGATTTGACTTGTTTAGTGGCCAAGTACCAAGCAACACTTAGTCGAAAACAAGTTTTGATCTCATTTAAAAAAACACTTTTTAGGGACTTTATTTTAATCTAATGCCGGGAAAAATACAAGACGCACGATTTATAGTAATATAAAACATGGATTTAATGATGTATTTAAATGGCTAACAATAAACATGAAGAGCACACATCAAGGCCTTCCACACAAAGCAACTTCCTGCGCGCGTTTCTCAAACTACACGCGGTAAGAATCTTTTTTTTCTCTGCTCAGCAGAACACTGTCTTGTGCATCAGTTAATATTAACTTACTTTATTTTAATAAAAGTGGCCACTCCTCGGAATTTACCAGTTTGATAAGATTTTGATAATTTTAATTACTTTAATCGAAAAAAAAAAGCACCAGATATATGCGTTTAATTCATTTGAAACACTGATGAAACCGGTAAGCACCACCCTAAACTAAATAAACGTAATAACAGCATATTAATAGCAATCTCTCAAATGACGGTCATGTTAAGCTTTTTTTCCATTAAATATTAATCGTTGGTGGACACTTGAGGGGATTTATGATTTATTTCTAATTAAAATATATAATAGGCAATAAATGCATTATCCTGGCAGTGTAACAAATTCATTTTAAAAATTAGAAATATTTAATGTAGTCTTTTAATTATTTATGTCATAAACTTAATGAATAATAAGTATTTAAAAAATAGTTTTACTGTACAGCTTGTCAAACCACAGGACATGTCAACTTTCCATATGTTTTGTTCTTTTTTTTTTAATTATCATTGAGGTCTAATCATATACTGTAATTATATTGCTTATTGATCCATTCAGTGAGTAATAAATTGCATTCCACATTTTTATAATAGCCTACATATTATTATTATTATTATTATTATGCAAAAGAATAAGATGCATAAGAACAACTTAACAGGCAAATCATCTTATTTAGAAACAGTTAACGACCTACTGATGATCCTGTTTCTGTGGACACGCCATTTGATAAAGAACTGTGATTTATTTGATCCTGATGCAGTAGATGAAGGGGTTCACTAGGTGGAAGCAGACTGTAGAACATGACCAGGCTGATCTTCTGACTGCTGTTCATCTGAGCGTTTAGGATGTTAGAACTGGAGTAAACCACGAAACGAGGCACGTAATAGATGGTAATGATAAGTCAGCTGTGTGGCACAGGTAGAAAAGGCTTTCAATCGGCCCTGTGCATTTGCTATTCGTAGCACAGACACCAGGATACTTAAACAGGAAAATATAATGAAAGACAATGGCACAAGAAGGGCAAACATTGCTACAGCATATCCAATGAGATTTGCGAGGGTGGCATCAGCACAGGCCAGCTGGTTCATAGATAGAGAATCACAGAAACAATTAAGGATCAGACTTGGCCCACAGAATGGCAGCTTTTCCATCACCCTATTTTAATGCTCATTTTGAAGTAGGCCTACCTCATGAGAAACGAGTGATGGAAACGCCAAATGTCGAATAAAAATCCCTTAATTCGCAAAAAAGTTTTTACGCTCGCTTGAGGTGGTTTTTGACTTGTGCGGAAAAAGGGTTGATGCGAATAATGGGAGATGGAAATGCATTTTGCGAATAAATTCCTCCAAGCGCATCAAAAAAGTAATGTGACTTTGCGCTATGGAACGGCAAAACCTGACTAACCAGCGGACCGATCTCATTCCACAGCATCTGAAATGTTGTTTTGGTCATTCGGAAATGCACGAGCAAAGTCAGTCATCAAAGTTTTTCTGTATAATTGCCTCCCTGAAATGTCTTACACGACTGCGTTCCCAAACAGCAGCATCCACCTCCGAAAGCAATGACCGCATTCATTGTGTTTCGTCTGCTCACTCTGAGGCTCAAGTAATTTACTATATATGAAAATTATTATATTTTCCTACTTTTCTTAGTGATTTATAGTGCCAGTTTATCAGGAAGTGACGATTTTGTTCACTTTGACTTGTTGGATGGAAACGATGCTTTTTCGGAAATGTTTTATGCGATATTGCAGTTTTGCACATAAGTTAAATTTGCAACTTTGGATTCCAACCGTTCACTGAATACTATTGAATGGTTGGAGCAATCATTGCAGTAACCCAGGAAAACCCTAAGCCTGATTTGTAAATGTTCATGTAGCTGCACAAACAAATGGCATTTCAGTCAGCCAAAATGGGCATGGCAGATTGCCTGTATAAGTCAACCCTGCATGGCATTTCATCAGAATTTTTCGACTGAGAGAGACAGTCATCGACTCGCATATAGCTTTATAGCATGGCTGTGTACGCAACGCTAGCTCCTGTTATCTCAGGGAGCTGAGATTACGTTAGTAACCAGAGCGTTCCCTTTCGAAACGACCTTTCATGTTGTGTAAATGCTTCTTGTGGAACATGTCCATAGTGCCATGCTATAAATAAGGGCACAATAAGCCCGGAAATAATTAGACCCAGGTCACAAGGACGGGGTCTGCGTCAATCAAAACCCTTTCTACTCTCATAGGGGATTAGGGTGATTAGGATGACAGGATCTGTGCCTGAAGAGCAGGGATATCCAGTTTAGGCCTATTAACCTAGAGAAGGTAGATGGCGAAGACCAGGCTACCACACAGATATCTCTGATCGAGACTCAGCTGGCCCAAGCCCAGGAGGAGGCCATTCCTCTTTTGGAGTGGGCCATTACTCCAATAGGACACTGTAAGTCCACTGAGGTGTAAGCCAGGGCTAAAGCATTGACTATCCAGTGAGATAGTCTCTGCTTCATAACTGGCAACCCTTTAGAGCAGCCTCCGAAGCATACAAAGAGCTGCTTTGGTTGCCAAAAGTGGCTAGAGTGCTCTACATAAACTAGTAAGAGCCTGGGCTAGGCAGAGTACATTAGTACCCTGCTTGTCTTCTGAGTTACAAAGAGCTAGAGAGGTGACAACCTGTGATCTGAACGGAGTGGAGAGCACCTTGGGCACATAGCCATGTCTTGGTTTGTGGACGATTTTACAGTTGTTAGGCCAAACTCAAGGATGCCTCCTAAATGGTGTTATTTACTCTCACGGAGAGCTGTGAAGACTCCCGTCGAGGGACCAAAAATGAAGACACCACAGCTCGGACTGGGAATGCCAAATTGTATCTTTGGCTTGGGAGATGAGGTCCTTCCTTAAGGAATCAGGCAGGGGGCTGCCGACAGCAGCTGAATCAACTCAGGGAACCACGTCTGTGAACCGTGGACCGTGATCTGAGCAGGAAGGTTTGACAGGCTGGCAGGAAGGTTCATAGGGCCAGAAAAAACACCATTATTTCAAGGCAGTTGATATGTAGGCGTTGTACAAGGGTCGACCAGGAGCCAAATGCTCCCCAACCCGATCTGGAGGCATCCGTCGTGACCATCTTCCTTTAGCAGGTTAGTTCCAATTGGATGCCTGTCTAATACAGGCAATGGGCCTTACAAGGGGCTACAGCTCTGGTGCAGTGGTGGGTCACCTTGAGGTACAGTACATGGGCTTTGAGCCAAAACTGGAAGGGACGCATGTGAAGCAGACCCAGCGGTATCACAGAGGAGGCGGCTGACCCTGAGGGGTTCAGGTGTCTAAGATTGAGGATGGGCCTGAGGGTCAGGGTCCAACGTCACTCTGGGGCAGGGTGCTTAGGAAAGGGTTAGCGTTTATCCGTCTGGGGGTAGCTCAGGCTCTGTTCTGAGCAGTAGACGGAGCAGGCATCACAGGTTGCTGGGAAGACTGAGCCTTCTTGAGACTTGAAAAAACTGCTGAGCTGGAGCACTTAGGCAGGACGTGGCACATGGCCTGTGATGACTTCTGTGCTGCAGTGAAGCGCTCTGCAAATCCATCTACAACAGGGTCAAATAACCCTGTGGGGGAGATTGGGGAGTCGAGAAAGGCGGCTTTGTCTGCGTCCTTGATCTCCTGCCAAAGGTGGCACTCAAGCACAGCCAAGTTGTTCATGGCCTTGTTGATCGCCTGCGCAGTTGCCTTTGTAGCACGTAGCCCCGCTAGGGCCGAGGTGGTCCTGCAAGGCTTGGATGGATGCACGGCATTGACTTAACACTCGACACACTCACTGGGTACACTTGTGACGTGACATTTGAAGCAGCGCCGCTGAAATGTGCTCCTAGGAAAAGATATTTGCTCTTTGTGTTCACCGGATGGCCGCAGGAGAGAAGAGAGAGGAGTTTCTATTCGCTGCCGGGGCTCTTCTATGGCGAGTAAGCAAGCTTCTTCCTTCTTCTTTTTCAGAGTTCAGCCAGGAGATGATCTTCGCATTGAAGGAGAAAATTCTGATGAAATGACATTTGGCACCGACTTTCATTGACAGTCGGCCCTGTCCATTTTGGCAGGCTGAAATGCCATTTTTTTATGCTGCTACACGAACGTTAACAAATCAGGCTTCAGCATGCACAGTAAACAGGAGTTTCCCCCAT